AAGGATTCTTGTTGCCGAACGCCGCATAAAGGCTGGGCTTGGTGATCCCCATCGCCCTCGGTCAGGTCCGCCATTGAGGCGCCCTCATAGCCCTTGTTCCAGAATACACGGAGCGCTGCGGTAAAGGCCCGATCGGTGCAAAATTCGCGGGGCGCCCTTGCACGCGGGCGGGTGATTTTCCATAACGCTCAGTATAGAATTCGTCGGGCCGTTTGAAAACCCCTGCTGAAGCCGTCGCCGCGGCGTGGTCCGCCCGCGCCGATCGTAGATCGCGCCGTTTCCGATGGATTTGGCCGAGGGCTTAAGATCGGGTTGATCATGTCGTCCTATTCTTCGCAGATCGCGGGAAAATAGGCCGATCCATGTTCGATATCATCGGATGCATCACCAACGATCATGATCCATGGATGGTGGGCTGGCGGCGACCATCTGCCTCCTCAGGCTGACCGCTTTGTATCTCCTGCTGGTCCGCGCCGAGGAATGCATCGAAAAATCGGCGACGTAGCTGGACGGCGATCGCCGCGCTGACGGCGGGCCTCAGCATCTGGTCCACCCATTTCACGGCAATGCTGGCCTATCGAGGACGCTTCCCTATCGATTTCGATCTTTGGCTGACCATGGTGTCGGCGGCGGTGCCGGTCGCCGGGATATGGGCGGCGCTCACCTTCGACCGACATCGGCAGACGCGGCCGGTCGTCATCGTCACCGGCCTGATCCTGTCATTCAGTGTCGCGGCGATGCATTTCGTCGGCATGAACGCACTGATCGTGCAGGCGCGCATCCACTATGACGGGATCGCCATCGCGCAGGCGCTGGCGATCGGTACATATTCCTGACCCTCTCCATCTGTACGCACCGGCGGCTGGGCGGCTGGGCGGATCATCGTGCCGGTGGCCCCGGGTGCGCTGGGCATCGTGACGCTGCATTTCGGAGCGATGGGCTCGACGACGTTGATCCCCGGCGGAGTCGAGGTCGGGGCGTCATCGCATCTGATCGAGCGCCACATCGTCTCACGCGCGGTGATCATCGCCATGGCGCTGATCGTCCTGACCATGATCGCCGCCGCCGTGATCGACCGGCTGCTGACCGACCTGCGTGGCCTCACCGGGGCGACACGCGAGGGCATCGCGATTCTGAAGAACGGCCGTATCATCGAGGCCAATCCGCGACTGGCCACGCTCTTGGGCACGACCACCGCGCAACGGTCCGAAGCCGCCCGGAGGATTGGCTCGAAGCTTCGGACGGCGCGCCATTGATGCTGATCCCCGACCGCCCGGCCGAGGCGCGCCCGCATGGCGTCACCGATTGCTGTCTGGAGATCGCCACCCATGAGATCGAATATCGCGCCGCCGCCGCGCCATCGTTCTGGCAATCCGCGACCTGACCGAGGAACGACGTGCCCAGAGACAGATCGCGTCTGCGGCGGTCCATGACCCTTTGACCCGCCTGCCCAATCGCCTAACTTTCAGCCGGGCACTAGAAACCGCCATCACCCGGGCCGATCAAAAGGGTCCGTTCGCTGCTCGCGCTCGACTGGACGACCGGTTCAAGGCGGTCAACGACCTGTTCGGCCATGCCGCCGGCGATTCGATCCTCTGCCGGGTCGCCAGCATTCTGACCGATGCCGTCGACGAGGCGAGCGTGGTCGCCCGGGTCGGCGGCGACGAATTCCTGATCCTTCAGCGCGGTATCGACAGGGCCGAAAGGTCCAGCGATTGACCGAGACGATCCTGAGCAGTTTCGCCGCCGAGATGGACCTCAGCCGCGATCCCATGGCGGTTGGGGTCAGCATCGCGTGTCGCGCATTTCCGGCGGATGCGGCCGACGCCGATACGCTACGCCAGAATGCCGATGTTGCGCTGTATCGAGCCAAGATGAGCGGACGGGGCACCGCGTCCCTTCGACCATGAACTGGATCAGACGGTGCGCAACCGCCGCGCGCTGGAGCATGATCTGCGCCATGCGCTGCTGCGCGATCAGATGCGGTTGGTCTATCAGCCTCTGGTCGCCACGGGGGCGCCGCGATCATCGGCTATGAGGCGCTGCTGCGCTGGGAGCATCCCGAACGGGTGAGGTTGTCCCCTGACGATTTCGTCCCGATCGCCGAGGATACCGGCATCATCCTGCAACTGGGCGAATGGGTACTACGCGAGGCGTGCCGCACCGCCGCCTCATGGCCGGCGCCGATGACGCTGGCGGTCAACGTCTCGCCCATTCAGTTCCAGATCCCGAACCTCCCCGAAATCGTGTCCCGTGCACTGATCGATAGTGGGCTGGCGGCGGGTAGGCTGGAACTGGAGATCACCGAGAATGTCCTGCTCCATAACCGCGAATCGACGCTGAAGACGTTGCACGCGCTGAAGGCGATCGGCGTCGGCATCGTCATGGACGATTTCGGCACGGGCTATTCGTCGCTCAGCAACCTGCGCTGCTTTCCGTTCGACAAGATCAAGATCGATCGCAGCTTCATCTCCGGCGTGACCGATGACGAGGCCGCCCGGTCGATCGTCCGGGCGATCGTGGGCTCGGGCCGCAGCCTCAACCTGCCGGTCGTGGCCGAGGGGTCGAGACAGTCGAACAGCATCGCATGGTGCTGGAGGAAGGATGCCCCAGCTCAAGGCTTTCTGTTCGGCTGTTCCGGCGAAGGCCCGTTTATGCCGCGCCGAGCGCGCTGCGCCGACGCCCATAGACGAAGTAGAAGGCCAGCCCCGCCGTGTTCCAGATCACGAAGCGGACAATCGTCGTGCTGGGCAGGCTGAACAGCAGATAGAGACAGCCCAGAATGGCGAGCGTGCCGACCAGATAGGGCAACGGGCAGCGGAAAAGCCGCTTGGCATCGGGCGCCTTGCGCCGCAGCACCATCAGACACGCCCCCACCGCGATAAAGGCGAGCAGCGTGCCGGCATTGGCCAGCTCGGCGATCTCGTCCAGCCGGAAGATACCCGCAACGATCGCGATCGAAATGCCGGTGACCAGCGTGATCCGCGTCGGCGCACCGCTCCGCTTGCTGACGACGGCCAGCGACTGGGGCAACAGGCCGTCACGCGCCATGGTGAAGAAGATGCGGCTCTGGCCGTACATCATCACCAATATGACCGAAGGCAGCGCGACCACGGCGGCAAGCGCAATCAGATGCGCGGCGGTCGGCTGGCCCAGCGAGCGCAGGACCAGCGCAAGCGGCTCGGGCGAGGTGGCCAGTTGCAGGAAGGGCAGCGCGCCGATCGCGGCCACGGCGACCGCCATGTAGATCAGCGCAGACCAGCATCGAACCGACGATGCCGATCGTCAGGTCGCGGTTCGGATTCTTGGCCTCCTCGGCCGAAGTCGCGACGGCATCGAACCCGTAAAAAGGCGAAGACGATGGCAGCGGCCGCCATCACCCCGCGTTTGGCCCCGTCGATCTCGGTCGCGACGAAGCCGTAGGGCATGAAGGGATGGAGATTGTCCGAATTGAAGGCCGGTAGAGCGAAGGCGACAAAAACGCCCAGCGCCACCAGCTTGACGATGACGAGAATGATGTTGAGCGTCGCGCTTTCGCGCGTGCCGGCAATCAGCATACCCATCACCGACAGTGCGACGACCACCGCCGGCAGGTTGATGATGCCACCACCACGGACCCGGCAGCGCCGGCGGCAATGCACGCCCGCCGCCTGTATCCAGCCGACCAGATAGCCCGACCAGCCGACCGCCACGGTCGAGCAGGCCAGCGAATATTCGAGGATCAGGCTCCACCCACGACCCGTGCGATGGTCTCACCCAGTGCGGTATAGCTGAAGTATGGGCGCTGCCCGCAGCAGGGATCAGCGTGGCGAGTTCCGCATAAGCGAGGGCGGCACAGGCGCAGACCGCGCCGGCGATGGCAAAGGCCGGGATGACGGCCGGCCCGGCCCGCTCCGCGCCGACGCCGGTCAGCGTATAGATGCCCGTGCCGACGATCGCGCCGACACGAAGGGCGATCAGATGGGCCAACTGGAGCGTCTTGGCCAGCGTCTGCCCCTCGCCATGCTGGGCAGCGCTGCCCAGCGGTTTGAATGGTCCGAACATGAAAGGATAATCCCCGCCCTAACGGTTATGATCTCTAGCTGACGGGCCCAACCCGCCTTTCAGGTCCGACAGCGTGGACCGGATATGCCCATCAAGCAATGCCTGAAGCCGATCGGCGTCGCGCGCCAGAAAGGCATCGAGCTGTTCGCGATGCTCTAGATGCGCGCGCGTCACGTCCCGCCGGTTGCAGATGCGCGACCACGTAGCGCTCGGCCAGCACCGCCAGTTGTCGAATGATCTGGACCGTCAGGGGCGACCGATCGGCCGGACCATCGCCATATGGAATTGGCGATTGCACAGCGCGACGCGCGGCAGATCGCTGGTCGCCGCCTGATCCAGCGCCTCGAATTTGGCGATCAGCGTGGCGCGGTCTTCCTCGCTGGCGACCACCGCCGCGCGCGCCGCCGCCCCCGGCTCGGACGCAGGCGCAGTTCGTAGATTTCCTCGGCCTGTGCGGCGGTCATCGCGCCGACCATATAGCCGCGATTGGCCGCGCTCTGAGCAGCCCTCCTGCTCCAGCCGCGCCGGGGCCTCACGCAGCGGTATCTTGCTGACGCCGAGTTCGGCGGCCAGCGCATCTGGCGAATTGGCCGGTCTCCGGGCAGCGTCCCGCGACGATCCGTTCGCGGACGATGCCGAAGATGCGATCCGCCAGCGTCTGTACCACGATGACGCCTCGCCCCGCCGCCGGCCATCGGCCGACGGAATGGCAGCGGGCGAGAGCGTCGTCGCCATTAGGCGGCCTTGCTGGAGGCCCGGAGGTCGGGCGGGTCGCGGCGGCCTTTTCGACCATCGCGATCACCTCGGCGCGGCGCGCTTCAAAACGTAACGCGGCGGCAGCACGCGCTCCACGACCCATGACCTGCTCGGCCAGCTTGATCGACTGGACTAGGGTCATGCTCGGCATCGAGGTGAAGCAGCGGCATGAACCAGCGATAGATCTCCATCGCCTTGGCATGATCGCCGCGCTCGAACGCCGCGACCAGCTCGACAAACTCCTTGGGGAAGGCGTTGGTCAGGCCCGAGACCCAGCCCTGTGCGCCCAGATACAGACCTTCGAGCGCGACGTCGTCCAGACCGGCGAACAGGACATAGCGGTCGCCGAACGCGTTGCGGAAGTCGGTGAAGCGGCGGGTATCGGGGGCCGATTCTGACCGCGACGATGTTCTTCACGTCGATCAGCGCTTCCAGCACGGTCTGGTCGATGACCGTGCGGTACGCGGGCGGGGGTTATTGTAGAGCATGATCGGCAGGCCGGTCTGATCCGCCACGCCCTTGAAGTGGTTCACCAGCTCATGCGCCTTGGGCACATAGACCATCGGGGCAGCAGCATCAGGCCGTCCGCACCGGCCTTTTCGGCCGCCTGCGCATAACGGACGGCGCGGCGGTGTCATATTCCGAGCAGCCAGTGATGACCGGCACGCGGCCCGCCACCGCCTCGACGATCGCGGTCAGCACCGTGACCTTCTCGTCATAGTCGAGCGAGTTGTTCTCGCCCACCGTGCCCAGCGCGATGACGCCGGTCACGCCGTCCTGACCAGATCGTCCACGACCCGCTGCGTATCGGCGAGATCGATCGACAGATCCTCCCGCACCGGGTCGTCACCGCGGGAAATACGCCACGCCAGCCGATGCTCACAGTCTGTCTTCCTAGTCAGTTTTAGATACTGTATACTTTTTAGCGATGTTCTTACGCTAGGTCAATCGCGATCATTCTTCGTCGGGATAGGGGCCTTTGCCCCTTCGGCGATAAAGCGATCGGTCCGCGCCTCGATCACCGGCAGCGGGACATACAACCGAGTTGCAGCATCGCGTCGTGCCCAAGCGCGGATGTTGAATTTTGGGCCCCAAGGCCTTCTCCGCCTTGGGCGCGTGCCCCGCTGGAAGGCGAGCTGCCCCATATAATAGGACAGCCTTGGCCGGGCTATGCGATGTAGCGATCGACCTCCGTCTCGATCCCGTGATCCGACAAAGCCGTGTTGTCGTGCAGATAGGCCTGAGCCTGTTCACGGGTCCATCCCAGCGCATGGATGCCGGTATCACGACTAGCCGCGCTGCGCGCCAGCCTGATAGGACAACATGCCGAACCGGTCATAGGGCGTCTTGCAGAAGCCCATATCCTCGCCCAGCGCCTCGCAATACAGCGCCCAGCCCTCGCCATAGGCCGACAGATAGCTGTCGCGACGGAAAAGCCGGCAGATCCTCCTTGTTGGCAGCCAGCGGCATTTGGAAGGCATGACCCGGCGCGCTTTCATGCAGGGTCAGCGCCGGTAGCGCATAGAGCGAGCGCGACGGCAGGTCATAGGTATTGACCAGATAGATGCCGTCCCCCGCGTCCGCCGTGTGAAAGGCGCGGTCGCCGGCACCGGCTTGATCGCGAAGCGGCTGCGCGGCAGGCGGCCAAACCAGTCCGAGGCAATCCCGTCAAAGCTCTTGGCAAACCATGCGGCACGGTCGAGCAGTTCCTGCGGTGTCTTGGCATAAAATTGCGGATCGGTGCGCAGGAAGGTCAGGAAGCCGGAAAGTCGCCTTTGAACCACCTCCTTCATCACGCCGTCCATCCGCGCGCGGATACGCTTCATCTCGGACAGGCCGATCGCATGAACCTGCTCGGGCGTCATGTCGGCGGTGACATATTCGCGAATTTTGGAGCGGTAATAGGCCTTGCCGTCGGGCAGATCATAGGCGGCCGTGCTGAGTTGCGCATGCGGGATATAGTCAGTGCGCAGGAAGGTGAGCAGCTTGCGGTGCGCGGGCAGCACATTGTCGCGGATCGCCGCCTTTGCTTCGGCTCGCAGGGCAGCAGCGGTGGCGGCCGGGATGGTCGCAGGCATGGTGCGGAAGGGCGCATAGAAGGGCTGGTCCTCGCCCGTTCCGGCATCGACCTGCGCGACGCCAATATCGCGCCCTTCAGCGTGATCGCGGGCGGGTAAAGCCGCGCGCCACCCGGCGCGCATGTTCGCGATCTGCTGATCATAATAGCGGGGCATCGCACGCAGCATCGCGAGATAGTCGCGATACTGGCTCGCGCGTGAAGCTGCCGCGTGCCCAAACCTGCCAGATTGCCCCAGAAGCTGGTGTCGGCGTTCAGCGGCTTTCATAGTCGCGAAACCGCTGCGCGGCGAGCAGCGCGTCGATCTGCCTTATAGACCATATAGTCGATACGGGCGTCGGGCGAGAGCGTGGCGGGATCGGTCGCGTCCAGCGCCTGGCCGTCGCTTCCCACCAGCGGAGACGCGCGGCCTGCGCCGGCGGACCGACATCGGGCAATTGCCGCGAGCCGGCGCTGCCACTGTCCTCATCGGCCGCATTCTGGTTGATCCGCCACTATATATTCCGCCTCCGACAGGGCACGGAAACGCGCATCGGCCCCTTGCCCGGCCTTTGCCTTCGCCGGGGTGGCGCGCTTTTTGCGCCGGATGGGGAACCGCGCCGACCGGGGCGGGCACCAAGAGCAACGATGCGCCAGCGAGCAGGCGCGTCATAATATTGGTCATGCTCATACCCCCCTTTGCTCAACCTTCCAGTGCTATGACGTCGCGGTGCAGATCGGCCGGGATCACCACCCGTCCGCCAGCGATTGCGCACGCGCGGCGTAGCGGCGCGATGAGGGCAAACGTGCCCCCCTGCCCGTGATCGCACCGAACATCGCCTCCGCCCGCGCCTGATGCTCCGGGGAAGATCGCCCAGAACCCCTTGGGATCAATTGCGATGATGAGCTCGCCGCCCAGCGGCGAACCGCCTCGACCTTCATCCCAGTCGATCGATCTGCGGTTGATCATATCGCCGATCAGCGGCCCTGCGAACAGTTCGACCATCGCAGCGAGTGCCGATCCCTTATGCCCGCCAAAGGTCCGCATCGCGCCCGACAGGATCGCAGCCGGATCGGTGGTCGGATTACCTTGCGCATCGACGCCCCAATCGTCAGGGACCGTCTTGCCGGCGCGGCGATGCAGCTCGATCTCGCCGCGGGCGACCATGCTGGTGGCAAAGTCGAACACAAAGGGCGGCCTGTCCGGCGCGGCCAGCCAAAGGCGATGGGATTGGTGCCGAACACCGGCTCCGCTCCGCCCGACGGCGCGACCGTGCATGGCTTGGCGTGAACGCCGTGGCGACGAGCCCGGCCTCCGCCAGTTCTTCGACCTCGGGCCAGAGCGCCGCGAATGAACGACATTGTTTAGCGCCAGCGCGGCGATGCCATGGGAACGCGCCTTTTCGATGAGCGCGGGCTTGCCGGTCTGAAAGGCAAGCTGCGAACCCGCCACCGCCCTCCACGCGAACCAGCGCCTTTGCGGGATGCGAGAGGACCGGCTCCAGCGTCCGGCACGACCACACCCCTTGGGATACTGGCGACCGCGACGAGCAGCCGATAGATGCCGTGCGAGTACATCCGTCGCGCTCGCCGGCCACCATCGTCTCCGCCACCGCCCTCGGCATGTGCCGGCGCCAGCCCGGCGCCCAGCAGCTTGGCACGGGCGAGCGTTCGCAATTCATCAACGTCATGGAACACCGCTCATGCCGTCACACCCTTCTTGGCGGTGAACAGCCGCATGCCGAAGATCGGCCCCGCGCTGCTGCGATCATGCAGGACGACACGAACACGGGACCGTCTGCTTACCCTGCGTCAGGGCCGCAGGAAGCGGATATTCGACGTCGAAAAACTCGCCCGGCTTATCGTTTCAAGATGTTGGGTCGCGATCTTCACATTGTCGACTAGGATGTCGAAGTCGCGCTTGCGCTCATCGCCCCAATAGGTCGCCAGGAGCACCAGCGGGCCCGGCTTCACCGCCATAGTGAACTCGAAATAGCCGCCCGATCGGGCATCGCGCCCCTGCCGCCCACGATAGGATACCGGGTAGGAGATTTCGAGGTAAGCTTATGATCGCGCTCGGGTTGCATCTCTCCCCAGATGCATGACGTCGACCGACGCGCGGCAATGTCGCGAGCGCGAGCTTGCACTGTGCCGGGAACGCCGCCTCCTCGGCCTTCCAGCCGCCTTTCGGTGAAACGCTTGAAATAGACGGCGCTGCGGCGGATCATATTGGCTGAAGAAGGGCACGAAGGTCAGATCGGCTGGACGGAACACCCTGCTGGCCAGATAGCGTGCCGCCGCCGGATCCGTGGCACGGAACGCGGTCAGTGGATTGGCGCCGACCATCGCCGGATCGGGAGAGTCGAGGGTGGCGTGGTGGTCGGGCCCAGATCGGCGGCCATCACCATCGGCCCGCGCACCACCGCGACCACGCTGTCATCGCCTGGCGTCGGTTCGACCTGCAGGTCGAGTGGCAGGCGGATCGCCACCCGTGTCACCCGTCTTCCACCGCCGATCGACGGCCCGCATAGCCGCGCTCGAACACCGGCGTCACCGGCTGGTCATTGACCCCTCGACCGCCGCGGCCATTCGCCCAGCCAGGACGCGCAACGCAACCGGGAAGCGACCCGCGCGGTCGGGCGGCTGAAGGCCAACTTTTGGCGGCCCCGTCCATCGGATAGGCGGTGTCAAGGTCACGACCGCCCCGCGCTTGTCCCAACGCGCCTCGGCGGGAATGTAGAGATTGACGAACAGCGTATCGCCACCCTGCCAGAAGATGGATCTGCCATGCTTGGCATGGCTCTCCATCCCCGATCCGACGCAGCACCAGAAGGCATCGTCCTTGTCGGTCGAAACTCGCGCGCCATGCCGGTCATCAGCGGCGTCATGTACGTAAAGCCGGCATGCACCGGATGCTGCGCGGCCATGACGTGGCTGTTCAGATGCGCGCGTTCATAATAGTCGAACAGTCGGCCATCCGGCTGCCAGCCATAAAGATGCCGGGTCAGCTTGGCATGTTGTAGCTGTTGCAATGCTCGCAGGTCTGTTCGGTGATATGGCGCGCGATGGTATCGGGTTCGGAGAAATATTCGCGATCGGCATTGCCACCGATGACATAGCTGTGATGGCCGGTCACGTTTTCCCAGAAGAAGCGTGCCCCGCCGCCGGGGCCGGCGCGGCGGTGATCTCATGGATCCGCGCCAGCCCGATCAGCTTGGGCACTTGGGTATTGGCATGGAGATTGGCGAGCTGGTCCTTGCCCGCGACGAGCGGATCGAGAACCTTGTTGTCATAGATGCGCTCGGCCAGCGCCAACCATTGGCGATCCCGGTACGCTGATAGAGTTCGGCGAAACTCTCGTTCAGCCCGCCATATTCGCAGCCAAGCACGTCCTGCAGCCAGGCATCATCCAGCGCGGCGAAGACCCGCGCGAAATAGCCGCCGAGCTTTGACCGCCACGTCCAGCGCACGGGCATTGCCCCAACCGCCATGAATGTCGAGCAGCCCGGCGAACAGCTTGTGCACCGTATAGAGCGGCGACCAGCTACCGTTGAGATCAAGCCCCCGACTTGATCTTGCCGGCCATGATCTCGTGGAAGATTTCCTCGCCATCGACGATCGTGCCATCGGCCCGCGCAGGCCCAGTGCGCCGACATAGCCGGTGCCGCGCTTGGCTTAGGCCTCGGCCAGTTCGGAGACGATATAGTCGGCCCGGCGGCGCATTTCCGTATCGCCGGTCTGCTGCCGAGGTCAGCACCAGCGCCGACATGTAATGGCCAGCGTATGCCCCGCGATCGTGTCGCTCTCCCACCGCCATAGATGGGCGCCTTGGGCCAACCCGGCATAGAGACGGAAATTGTGGAGCAGCCGATCGGGGTCGAGACGGTAGAGATAACGCCGGTTGGTCTCCACCGCCGTCGCGTAGATGGAGGGACGCAACCGGACCGCCGAGAGCGGAAATGGTTCGGCCTTGTCGGGCAGGATCGCCCCGCCGCCATCGCCTTTGCCGTACCGCCCCACCATCGCCATCGTCGCCGCACCGCGCATCCATTCGCGCCTGTTTGCCTGCCGCATCTTGATCTCCCCGAAATAC